TAGCTCTAGCGAGAGCAGCAACAGTGAGTGAATTGTGACTGGCCTTGCAGACAGCGTATTCTGCTTGCTAAATAAAGCCTTTTCTGTCTACATATTTGCTATGTTGCTTGAGCAGTAGCTTTTGTACAGCCTTTCCTGCATATCAAATGTGTGGGCAATATGCGAGGATTTTTTTTTTCTTTCTCGTTGAGCTGAAAGTGGGGGTGAGGATTATATGCAGGGGCAGGTTATACGCGCAAAGATACGGTATATCTAGGCTTGTACGAATATTCCAAAGAACAATAGAGTATTCGAATTCAAATTATGAAAATTTTCAAATTATTCGCAATGAATGAATAGGTGTATATTATTACGCACATAACTGCCCGTAACGGTGGTTTCACTGGCATGTAGAGGTGCTAAGCCACGAAAGCACCTATCGAGGAGAAATCTGCTCTGCCCCACTTCCAATTTCTCCAGGCGCTGCAACACTTTTCTTTGAACACGGTCAGAAAACATTGCGGCGATCGATAGTCGCGGCTACTGAGAACACGCAAGTCGCCAAATTTTATAGCGCAGCGCGTGGCCTGCAATTCACAGTAAATTGTCAAAGTTGGCTAAAAATTACTAACGAAGGACAGTTAGATTTATTTTTAACAACTATCGAAGACTCCACTTTCCTAGCACGTCAATGAAACTACACAGAATTAGTTTGTTAGAAACAAGAAGAAAGATGACTTGTTTAATGTTTCAATACAAAATTATGTCAGGGAAAGTTGCCTTAAATGTACCTCGTTGTGTCCAACCAGCCAGTGCTAGGAAACCCCACTGTAAACATGATCGATCTTTGGAACTCATATTTGCCCGAACTAATGCTTACAAACACAGTTATTTTCTCAGAACAGTTAATGATTGGAATTTACTGCCTCAGGTCATTTATTTGACTGACACTTTTGCTACATTGCTGGAAGGTTATCTCTTTGGTGTTAAGTGTTACAATGTGTTATAAATATTGTTGCTGTTTCACAGACATGTGGCCTCTGTTAGCATATAGATACATGTCTTTTGCAACGAATTCAAGCTTTTTTATTTCTTGCTGTAACGAATCACTTGATGCTTTTTTGCCTCTCCTGCTTGAAGCAAAATGCTGGTCGGCAGCATGTCTAAATAAATAAATAAACAAACAAGGTTTGAATGTATGTGGAAGTATGGCAACCAATGGGAGGCGTCTTATCGCAGAAGCTCTGGGTGTAATCTACTGTTACTTTGACAATGTTACGTTCCAAGAAATGCTTACTTCTAACATACAGACTCGAAAAGCTAGGAACAAAAAGCAAGCCGTTATGTGAAAAATGCCATTACACTCAAACTTGGATATAACAAACACAGATATAATGCAAAACAGTTATAACGAAGGACACGAAGAATAGTCTTGCAGTACAGTGTTAATAATGTACCTTAAGGGGGGACGTGGCCTTTGAAAACCGAAAAATCGCGAAAAAGTCGATTTTTGGCAAACCACATATTCGGGCAGTATGTGTCATAAACTACCTTTTCTGTAAATATCAACGTCTAATTCGTCGCGAAACCATTTGAAATAAAGTTTAGAACATGCCGCGGCGGCCCTCGAGCGGCGCGCGAGCGCTCAAAATACCCCAACTTGGCGTGATCGCAGTTTCTCGACCGCTCGATGGAGCGCCGCCATTTTGGTGTTGTTTTGTTTGTGAATTCTTGCTCTTTCTTTCCCCGCCACCTGCGTCACCGGCGGCAGGGCAGGAGAGGAGCAAGCCGCTCATGATTGGAGGGCTCGCGAGAGCTTTCAAGTTTCCCGCGGCTGAGGCACGCAGCTGGGACTGGGCGAAGCGCGCGCTCCCCAAGGACGCGGGGGAGCCCGCGACTGCCATTGGCTGCTGCGCGCGATGACGTAGCGCTCTTGCGCATAATGCGGCCGATGCGGCCGCTCGTCTGCTGCTCCTCCGTCTGGCGTCTTTGTGTTCCGCTCGCTTCCGTGTATCGTTGCAGCCGTTCGCATACTCTCCACGTTTCAACTGTCTTCGAAACGATTTTCAACCGTCTTTACGAGACGATTTTCAACCGTCTTTACGAGACGATTCTCAACCGTCTATACGAGACCGTTGTTGTGTTCGCTCACGATGCGCCCAACGAAAAAGAAGACGCTACAATCGTTCGGTGCAAGGAAGCGAGCTATGAAGCTTGTCCGCGCAGCGAGGCTCTCCGCTCGCACGTGCGCCGACAGTGATCGCACCGACAGTACCTGTGGGGCAGCTTCTGCTTCATCTACGCAAGAGAGTGGTCGCATCGACGCGCCTAGCAACGGGACTCCTGCTCCGCCGGTGCAAGAATTTGTCGTTACAAGCGCGCCTGGTGTCTCGTGCTCATCGACAGTGGCTTCCGCATCTTCTCTTTCATCGGCCTCGAGTGCGATCGCGTCGTCAACTGTGCATTTGCGAACAAGTTTCCTGACGTGCGAGAAGAAAGAGGCGGCGGATCAACAACGCGCTGCTGTGCAAAGAGAACTTGGCGCTATGCCAGCGACGGAGCGGAAATTTCAGGCAATGGAGCGCGATCATGAAGCTGCCACCGCTACAAGTGAAGGCGAAAAATTTTTCCTTGTGCAAATGGATGCCCTAGACGACCTGCTATCTCGGACCCCGTGCCACCGGTGCACCGCGATTGGAATGAATGTACGAGGAGGCACCCAACTTGGACTTGCTGCAAAGCTTGAGCTAGTATGCTTGCATTGTGGAGTAGCTTCAAGCTCATGGAGTTCATCTCGTCAGGATGACACAAAGGCCTTTGATGTGAATGTAAGAGCCGTTATGGCAACAAAACAAATAGGCAAGGGACAAACAGCTCTCAACGACTTTTGGGCAGCGATGAACGTGTCCCATCGTGGCCTCCATCACAAGACCTTTCAGAAGCACCTGAAGAAATTCAGGGAACCGCAGACACAATGCATAGAAAATTTCTATGCAGAATCTGCTTCTGCTGTAAAAGCCACTTACAAAGAAATGGATCAATATTTCACCAGGGATATAACAGTTTGTTATGATGGAACATGGCACAAGCGTGGGCACACATCCCATATTGGAGTTGGGGCAATTATCGAATACCATACGGACCTTATCTTGGACGCCGTTGTTCTGTCTAATCATTGCCTTGGTTGCCAAGTAGGGCCAAAGCCTGGAGACGCAGACTATGCATGCTGGCTGGAGAATCATGTGTGCCAGAAAAACACCGACTCTAAATCAGGGAGAATGGAGATTGAGGCAGCTATCATCCTCTTTTCACGCTCACTGTCGAAGCACAACCTCCGTTACACAACGCTCGTGTCTGATGGAGATAGTGCCACCTTCTCTGCCCTTGTACAAGAAAATGTTTATGGACTGGTCCCCATTTAAAAAGAGGAATGCCTGAACCACGTTCAGAAGAGGATGGGGACTGCACTTCGCAACCTTGTGCAGAAAAGTGACAAGGCTTTGGGAGGGAAGGGCAGGCTGACAAAGGCCCTCATCGACAAGTTGACAGATTATTATGGCTGGGCCCTACGGAACAATTCCGATGATGTGGCTGCAATGCGGCGGGCAGTGATGGCATCGTACTACCATGTGACGTCGACGGATGAGGAGCCGCACCACGACTTGTGCCCAGAGGGTGCAGACTCCTGGTGTCGTCACAATGCCAGCAAGATTACCGGTGTTCCAACTCCGAAGCATTCGTACAAGCTGCCACGCTATGTTGCAGATGCACTTCTACCCATTTATGAGAGGCTCTCACAGGCTTCTCTTCTGCAACGCTGCCTGGGAGCAAAGACGCAGAATGCATCAGAGTCCTTTCACTCTGTGCTGTGGTCCCGCATGCCCAAAGAGCAGCATGCGTCACTGATTGCTGTGGAGACAGCACTGCATGATGCAGTGCTAAGATACAATGCTGGCTGCTACAGGGCCACCCAAGAGCTATCTTCATCAGTGGGGCTAACACCTGGCCACCTGGCCATTCAACGGGCAGCCGAGAAAGATTCTCTGCGCTTGAGAAAGACTAAGAAGCGATCCCTAGAGAAGATGGAAAGGCGGCAAAGAAAGAGAGTGCCAAAGGACACCTCCAGTTACGCTGCAGGTTCATTTTAGAACTGCCTATGTGCTCAAAACTTTCAAACGTTGTTTTCTCAAAATGACTTTTTTGTCTAGTGAGGCTGCTTATTCCAGCCATATCTCTGGAACCGCTCATTGGATTTCCATAAGTCTTTTTTTATTATGTACATGAATAAATTTCTGAGGGGGTGACAAGCCCATTTTTTCAATATATTGTGTGTGTTATTTATTATATTTTTTCAAAATTTGATTGATAATATCCTAATCACGAACACAAAGTTTGATGGTCTGCTAAAACTTTTCAGCAAGGAAATTAAAAAAAAAGGGCTCTGTTACCCCCTGGAGTATCAATCTGGGAATCATCATAGTTAATTTCACAGTTCCAGCACCTTTTGAAAGTTCTCCAGGCCTGGAATAAGAGAACCATGTGCACTACCCTGATATTCTGCTGTAACTTGAAAACCAGTGAACATAACTTGATGAAATTTTGTAGTTCTTCTAATGCTTTTGCTATAAGTCTATCCTGAAAATTTCATTAAGATATCTCAATAAACAAAAAAGTTGGTATCCGATGGTAGCCTCCCCCCTTAAAAAGCTTTGGTTATGACGAACTTATTTTCGTGTAAGATGCAACTTTGTTGTCATGAGGATTGAGTGTACTTTATTTTCAATTCTGCATCGATGTGAAACTTGTTTTCTTGCGGAGTTGACTTACAACACACCCATTAAAGAGACCCCGCGCACGCCTCCCACTGCAATACATAATAACCCTGTTTGCCTCGTTGATCTCTGCGCCATTTATTAGGCTTGCTTACGGCTGCAGCAGTCTGGTCATAGGCAAGCTCCTAGTAGTCCGTGGACAAACTAAACCTCTCCAATAAAGCAGCAGGGCATCAAGACCCAACATACCTTAGAGTCGGTTGTGCTGCTGACTGTGCTTTCGCCAAGCCTGTCAAATACAGACCGCTTGCCAGCCGCTTGCGTCCCGGACGACAAACCTGCAAGTCGCACGCATCAAAGGGTGCCTACCCGGAAGACACAGCATAGTCACAGCGAAAGCCGATGCAGAGGCGTCTCTAAAGGCTGTTGTGAACTCTCTAGGAATGACCACTACAAGTACGATTGAAACTTGCAAGAATAGGTCCGTGAACTCCCTCACAGGCCGACTCACCCGGTCTCTGATCGAGCTGCGAGTCAGAGTCTGAGAGAGTGCGGGTGAGCAATATTTTGGTCAGTTTGAGTCCGAGTGAGTCCAGCTGAAGAAAATTTTCATGAGTGTGAGCTTGAGCGAGTTCGGCTCAGGAAAATGTTGGTGAGTCTCAGTTTAGGAGAGTCCAAAGCGCAAGGCATACTTCTTGAACGAGTCAGAGTAACCTCCAACTTTTTTTTTTTTTTTTTGCAAACCTATGATCACATTTAGTGATGTTTAGCATTAATATCAGCCTGACCTGGACTCAAGTTTATACTCAAGTCTACTCATACGTATTTTAAAGCAATGTCTTTCATACAACATTCAATTTGTATTGCCCAGAGGTGCAAAATACGCAAAGGAAGGCCATGACTTCCACCTCCTCTCTCCCCCCACCACTAACTTTTCGAAGAAAGTTCTTGATGAATGCATCTTATATTGTCATCTTTTACAAGAAACACGGCTCTGGTCTAAGAGCGCTTATAACTCGCTTTTAAAGGTACTATATCAAATAGCGCCATGAAGAGAACCAATTACGTGAGATATTGGACTTATAGAGCTTTGAAATTACGGTCGAAAAAGATAATTCTAGGCCTACAGGCTCATGAGTCGACTCACTGCGACTTACTCAGACTCGGATAAATTTGTGAGTCTGAGTGAGTACTCGCGAGTAATGTTTTAGTGAGTTTGAGATCGATTGAGCCCGGTCGAAAAAAATTGACGCGAGTCTGAGTGAGTCAGGCTCGGGAAAATTTTGGAGAGTTTGAGACTGAGTGAGCCCTGAGCACAAAGTATAATTCATGAGTGAGTGCGAGTGAGCTCCCCCAAGTTTTGCCAACCTATGCGTGTAAGATACCCACTCTGCCATAAATCATGATACTGTGAAGTATGGAAGTACCAGGTACTCATTTGTAAGTACCTAGTCATTGGGAAAATGGCCTAGTGTGGCATTTAGGTGTAACTTCACCCTTTGACTGTGCTAAGCTAAATCTGTTAAAGGGGTACTGACACAAAAACTTAGGCCTCGCGTTTTTCTGCAGCAATGCGTTGCTGAAGGCCTATTAGTCATGACACGACACATCATTTGCTGCAGCACGCGACAAATAATTAATTACAGGCCCATCATTATCAATCAGTTTCAGTTTCGGTTTGAGAGAGTTCTAAAAACTGGGTGCAACTGTCGCCACCTAGCGTGTGCAGCGCTTGACCACGTCAGCACACAAAACTGTGACACACTTCCGCACAGTCCGCATAAAGAATTACTTTGGAATAGGAAACAGGACTGGAATGTCGCCAAACACATAACTTTCTAAGCGTGCACCACGCCCACGCTCACGCAACCGGCCGCTAAGAAATGTAGACTGCGGGAACTAACGCGGCAAAAGAAAAATGGCGACTACGACGTCATCATAACTTGTTTTGTTGACCGTAGCGTAATGACGTGAGGGAAGTAAGGGTCACGTTGGGGTCCCCTCCGATGGTGTCTATAGCGCTCTGGAGTCGGTCGCTCACGCAAACTTCAAAATGAATCTAAAATACTTTCTAAGCTATATTTCAATTCAATTTCAATTTTCAAAATTTGTTTTATTGTTTTCTTGCTCTTGATATCTTGCAGATGATACACGAATGTACACGAGAATCGACCCCGTAGGCTATCTCGACCCCGGAATTTTGTGTCAGCACCCCTTTAAATGTGGTTCCTTTCCCAACATGATTTCTATGTAAGGTCTTTTGGCCAAGGAGTTTCAAGCCCCAGTATGGCTCCATCATAGAATACTCAACTGCCATGCAGAGCGCCTAGGTCCAAATTCTGTTATAATTTTGGTTTTGCTTCTTTTCACTGTGAGCGACAGCTGTTATGAACACTGGTGGCAGAACAATAACACGAAAAAAAAAAAAGGCTGTTGTGACCTCATAATAGCTTTCAATGTAAAAATGCTTGCCTTGTTGGCTGGCAGCCAAGAGCTGGCGGGTGCGTGCAGTGGAGCCACTGGGAAGGACTACCTTGAGTGTGGGGCCTTCATCGTGGGCTACTGGCTGTGGTGCCACCCGCTCAGAAGCTGAGGAGCCAATGCTCAGCCGCTTGGGGGGCAAGGGGGTCGACGTAGCAGGTTCATCGCCATGACGGCGCTTGGTCAGGGGTCGCACCGTGGCACGTGGCTCGGGCTCTGCAAAATGTGATGGGCACGGAAGGTCATCGGTCAGAGTGAAGACAACTACCCTCGGATGCTCTCTTAGTGTTGAGCGTTTGAAATGCAAGAAGCAACAATAGCATTCGCAAACAACCAAAACGAAGTGATACAATACACGTAATAGCCTTTATCATCTGGCAACCATGGTCACGTCCACCCTGAATCTGGAACTCGGTAACTTCCTTTTGACGTGAGGCAATGGGCACAATGCCACAAAACTTGAAGCATAGCGAGAAATTTTGAAGAAAAAAACTTTCAGCTGCAGCCCGCATGCTAGCACATAACTTCCCTGCTACATCGTGATTGACGAGCAATCAGTTGCCAGCCACGCACGAAACAGGTTTCTACAAAGCTTCATGCACGAAAGAAAGCGGTCTTGCACGACGCGGCAGTGGTGAATTTTTCGCGAATATGGCACCACGACACGCCTTTGTTGCTGTCGATCCACACAGTTTATGCGGAGTGTGCAGCTGAGCAGAGAGGTGTGAATGACCGTGATAAGGTTATCTGACATATGGCTTAAGGGGAGAACATGGCACTTAAATGTCGAAAATCGGCCCAAAAATCGCATTTTCTCTCTCATTGCTTTTGCATTCTCGATGCCCTTATGCACCACCAGAAAAGTATCGCTTTGAAATTCCACTTATTTCTCAAGTTATAACCCATAAGGAGAGCAACTTACTGCAAGCAGACCTTTAAATTGAACTGTAAACTAACCATACTTCAGCCGCCAACGGCACGCGTACTATGGGCTCCACCAGCGCTATTTTGGTCTCGTTGAAAAGGTCGCATTTCTAACTGTTTTTTTTACTTTCCAGTAGACAACTATGTGCCCCTCGCATAAACAAAAAAGATGAAGTCAAAATCATGCGCAGCACGTGATTCCACCAGTTGCTTGACGCATGTGACCAAAATGGCACTCCCCAATCGATCAGGAAAACTCGCTGGCAGTGTCCACCGCCATTTTGAAAAGGTATCGTCCTTGCAAAGGTGTCTTATTCTTAGCATGCTTGTGCCCCTCGCTATGCCCGGCGGTGTGAAAAAGTTCCGATCGCAGCATCATTTTGGCCGTTCATGAAAGAAAGGCAGAGGCAGAAGGCCCAATTGTGCTGCTACTATGTCGCGGGAGCAAGCGCAGATGTTGTTGATAACGCCGCCGTAACCGAAGACGGTCACCCATGCGTGCACAGTGTAGACGCTGGCCTCACGTGCACTGAAGATGTTAACAATGAAGGAGTGTTAACAATGAAGAAGATGTTAACAATGAAGGAGTGGATAGTAGACGATCTGTGGATTATGACTGCGCTGATGCTATCGGCAATAGTGAAGTGCAAGTAGACACGAGCCTACCTGACAGAGCGTGATGTCGACTTCGGCCGTGTGCGGGTAGACAGATGCTAATATCATCGGAGCCAGTGAAGTGCGCAACGCGTGTGCCACGAGACAACCACTACGCTTGAGAGTCTTTCATCTGTGTCGGCAACAGCGCGAAAAATTGAGCCCTTTTATGAATCAAGTGGTGCGGAAGCGAGGAAAAGTGCCAGCAAGGCAAGACCCAAAATTCACACGAAAGCCTTCAATCCATGATTTAGAGTTTGGTATCAAAAGAGCAGCACGCTTCTCTTTTTGCTGTGCAAGCTGGTCTTGCAGAAGCTGTGCTGCGTTTCAACACAAAGCAATAACAATGCATCTGCTGCGATTCCAGAGCAGCTGGTTATCCCTATATTCAGCAGCACATCCCTGAGGGCTAGGGAAAAGGACTGTCGTCAGAGTGCAACCACAAATAAATAGAGAGAAGCGTTCCAGAGTCTGAGAAAGCAGGTCAAGAAGAAGCATAAGTATGGGATGCATTTAGATTATGCGCATTTTCATAGAACTTTATAAGTATTTCTTCAATAAAGGTGTCTTGAAATGTTATTCCTCGTTTTCTCAAAACAGCAATTTTGGCACATTTGCCTAGTTAGAGGGAAAATAACTTCTGTTCTAATCGACCTATCAGCATAATTCTTCTTTTGCCGGAAAAATAAATGCATGCAGTATGCAATATGCCCAGTTTGAAAGTACTATACATATCAAAAATTTTTTTAAGTGGTCACATGCGTGACAAGTGAAGGTGGCTTTTTTTTATGACTATTGATGTCCCTAACTCTTGTTCAAGTTGGCCCAGCAAATTGATTTAGAGCATATTGCACTCCTTAATTATCCTACATTGTTACTACACTGTCGCCACTGTTTTGGTGCTTCCTGCTTATATGCTAATTAGGCTCCAAAGAAAGAACCCAGGTTATACATTGATTGTGGAGTATCTTAGAAACTACGTGCCCTATCAAAAAAGTAATTACACTTTTAGAATCTGCACATCTAAATACACAAAACTATAAAAACTTTGTTGAGATCTACACACAAATAAAAAGTTGCCCATCAAGTGTTGCTTCTCCCCTTAATGGCACGTTCATGGTTAGCTGCCACACTGCCTTTGCTCTTTTTTGATGCTTGAAGGCATAACTGCAATCAGGCAAAAGTTGTTTGATCAGCCAATCAAGTGCCTGCCATTAGCAAAAAGAGGTTTTGCGGACCATTGTCAAGTCGGCGAATTGAGGGGCACAGCGGACTCTTACGTGACGAAAGGTTATCGCAGTTATCACTTTTTGTATTTATGACTGCTTGCTTTCCAAGGAATTGTTTGGTTCATCGTAGGCGGTCGTACTTGCTGAGAACGACATCAGAAAATGTTGGCGCGTGAAAGCCGACCGCAAGGCTTCACCTGCTGCCCCCCAAATTGTTTTTCTTCCCTTCCGAGATTTTGCTACCTAAGAATGTCTCAAAAGTGAGCGACCTTGCTCGCAGCATCTAGAATCCTCGTGCGGTGCTCACTCATCTTGTATATTTTCACCGCAAGTCAAGCGGGGCTAGGCATCCGTGAGCACATGCCTCTCAGATGCTTTCGAAGGCCTGCTTTCAACTTTTATCGCTCCGTATGTGACACATTTTTAACCTGACTATGTCTGAAGCAGTCACTTAAAAAAAAAAAAAAAAAATCAGGAGGTTTCAGAAAATGTCTGTTATATGTGGACGCAGTTTCGATGAGTAGCATAGCAAGAATGTAAGAGCACCGAAATATGGTAGTTATAATCAAGAGATCGTTATAAATGGTTTCGATTGTATTCGTCAATAAAACAGAAGTTTACTGAGGTAGAGACAGTTTATTGTTTTCTTGATACTATTGATAATTCCGCATTCACTTAATTAAAACTCCTGCCTAACCTTATTTACCCACCTTTTACTGTAAACGAGAAAATGCAGAACATAGACAGGATGCACCTCGAAACATTACTGAGCTTTGTAAATATGGGGAAGTAGTTACAGCCAGTTGCTATAAAATAGTAAGGAAACGCAATTTTCAGCTCACCAGGTGCAGCATAGTTCCTCTGAAAGTTGGTCCTGCTCGCTGGGGATGCCTCAACCACTGGCTCGACCCTTGGCGATGCCTTGACAGGTGTAAAGCGGCGTGGGATGCCGACAGCTATTGAAAGAGGAAAGCATTAAAGCGAAATAAATATCTAGAGGCATTATTCAACGTGGAGCAGCTCTACAGATGAACACTAATCTCTCTCCTTTACGAGGAGCACATTTCATCACGTGTGCTTGTTAAAGAGGCTGTACAGAGTTCGACGGCACGAGCAAGCCAAGTTTACACTGTCGTGAATGTGGATGCCAGGATCCCCAATAGTAATACTTTCGTTGTCGAGAGGCTAATGCTGAGCAGAGTAGAACTCCTAGAAATGTGCCCTACATGGCTGCGAAGTTGAGCCAGAGTTCTTCGATCATACGAGTGGGAAAACTCCCAACAGGCCCCGCATATAAAAATCTAAACAGGCCATTCGACCAAATTGTGGGGGTCTGCTGATTCTTGCGGCATCTGTTGATTAAAATAAAACCAACAAATGCTCCCGATAATGCCAGCACTGCAGCAAGAAGCGCCACTGCCGCGCTTCAGTGTTTTGTATTACTTTCTCACCTGGTCACCAGCGCTCAAAAGGATCCTCCGCTGTTCGCAGGGCTTCCGGGTGAAGACGTTAAAGACTGGCTCGAGGAGTATGACCGCGTGAGTGTTATCAACAACTGGGATAAGCCTGCGAACCTCACCCACGTTGAATTCTACTTGAACGGCGTCGCAACAACGTGGTTTTTGTAGCGTTAGCTACACTGGCCTCGCTGAGCCAATTTCGCGTGGCACTGGTCTGCGCATGCGCAATGGTACTCCGCCGCCACCGCGTGTGGCTTGCAGCCGGAGTGCGCGCAATTCGATGCGCTGCGCAGACGATCAGTGGTGTCACGCACCGGAGCCGGCACCTCCCTCGCACTCGGCCGTGGCCGCGCGCGACTCGCCGCCACCGGTGTGCGCTTTTCAGAGGAGTGCCGTCATAGCTTTGGTAGACATATGGACGCCGACGCGCGTGCCTTCCCTGTGCAGTCGCCATCTGACACTGCGCTGTAGCCGCTTGATAGCGCCTCTGACTGGCGTTTGCCACTGTGGTACAACCATGGAGAAGGAGAGTGCAAATGCTGCTCAACGGTGCAGTAGAGCGGAGAAGCTTAACTCATCGGATCCTGAAGTAGTTGCCCGGCAAAATAAATATACATGTGCCACATAATACGTATACCGCCTGTGTGTCATTGGAACAGCTGTATGAATGACATCTGGAAAGCTAAGAATAATCAGCTGAATCTTTGCCTAACGCTACGTATACCCTGGCATAGCTGAGCTAAGCCACTGCCATTTTTTCAACCACGCCACAGATTTTCCGACATGGCCCGGCTTTACACGTCAGCTCCACAAGGTTTTCGCCAACCTGTCAGTGCGCTCGGATATCGCCAAGAAGAGGCTTGGTTCACGTGTTCAACGTCCCGGCGAGTCTTATACTTCTTATATCGAAGATGTTCTCACCCTTTGCCGTCGCATCGACAACTATATGACGGAAAACGACCGTGTGCGCCACCTGCTAAAAGGCATTGCGACTGTCGCTTTTAATGCGCTTGTGGTGCAGAATCCCTCGACTGTAGCCGATGTTGTCGCTACCTGTCAGCGCCTTGAGGAGCTTCAGACCACTCGGGTGCAACCTGATATGTCAGATTTGAGCTCAAGTCATGATACAACAGAGCTGCGGCATTGATCCGCTCTATCACCCGCGAGGAACTTCATGCACAGGCTTCACCTCGCCCCCTCGATATCCGAATGACGCCACCTGCTACTAGTTTACACGACGTCGTGAGGGAGGAACTGGCCTTTATCACTGGTACACCAGTTCCGAGTTCACATCCCGTGCCCATTCCAAATTATGCTCACGTTTCTGCAACGAAACCCGCACCCCACCAAAGTCTGGCCTCGATGACTGTCACACCTGTTCCGAGCTCATATCCTGTGGCCATGCCAACTTATGGTCAGGTTGCTGCTAAGACACCTGCACCACAGCAAAGCCCAATGCAGCTACCAGCGCCCGAAGTGCATGGTTCGCTCAACCCACTTGCACCTCGACCATCTTCCCAGCCTTACAACGCCTGGCGCACTTCGCGGCCGACTTGGTTCTATTGCGGCATCCGTGGTCATATTTCAAGGTTTTGCCGACGCCGTCCGCAAAACGAAAGACGAAGCTACGATAACTTTGAACGGGACGACTTCTACCCACTGGACCACCTTATCCGACTGTATCAGAACAGCACACGTCAGTCGCCGTCTCCGCAGAACTTTGGCTCAGTTGGCAGTTCTCGTTTCTCACGTCGTCACTCACCTTCACCGATGCGGTGTTCCTCTTCTCCTCTCCGACCTTCTATTTCTATTCCCGACCGCCAACTTGAAAACTAAACAGTGCAGCTTCGGTAGAGAAAGCTGCATCTTTCGAACTGCGTGAAACTCCTCCGGACCACCCATCAAATGTTTTATTGCTGTATGTTTCAGGTATAGAGACAGAGACACTGGTAGACACAGGTGCATCGCTTTCCGCAATTCGTGGAGACTTTTGTGCCCGCTTGAAAAATGTTAGGACGCCATACGATGGCCCTCCCCTTCGTTGCGCAGATGGAGTGCCTATTCAGCCTTCAAGTGTTTGCACAGTCCGCGTTTTCATAGATGGCATCCTTCACCACATTCAGTTTTTGTACTTCCTTGGTGCACTCACACAGTAATTTTAGGATTGGACTTCCTTTCTTCGGCATCAGCTTTCATATCGTGTCATCAGCGAGTAATTCAAATGTCAGCTACTGAGAGTTCATCCGATGTCGATCCATACAGCTTCCGTTTCGTTCTGTCGCTGATTGTTTCATTTCGCCAGAGATGAACGAATTCTCACGATCGCTTCGGATACTATAGTTAACGGTGACATGTTCATAGCTCCATCAGTTCGCTCTGAAACCTGCGGGGCTTACCATAGGACCCGGCCTTGTGCGCTTTAACGACGGGAAAGCATTGGTCACTGCCTTGAACCGAACTTCTTTGCCAGTTATGCTGCCCAGGGCACTGCTGTGAGCTGCTTCGCTGACAACGAGCCTTTTTCGCTGATTCCCCTTCACGCAGAATCACCGCCTTTGTCAGCTACAACTGATATTAAGGCTACCACTGTTGCTTTAAATGATACCATAAGTCCTCACCTCACTGCCTAGCAAAAGAGAGACCTCTTAGACTTTCTCCAAAAGCACAGCCTTTATTCCAAAGTTCTGGGCCACACCTCCTGTTGCAGAGCACAGCATTGAAACCGAAGCCAGCTCGATTGTACGCCGCCGCCCATACCGCCTGTCTTCGGCGTAACGGCAAATCATTGAGGAAAACGTCGCCAACATGCTCAAACGGGATATTATACGACCTTCATCCAGCTTTTGGTCGTCTCCTGTGGTGTTGGTCCGGAAAAAGTATGGCTCTGTCCGCTTTTGTGTTGATTACAGAGCGCTCAACAAGATCACGAAAAAAAAAAACGTATATCCGTTGCCACGCATAGATGATGCCCTGCACTCCCTACAAGGCGCAGAATATTTCTCCAGCCTCGATCTCCGATCCGGGTATTGGCAAATACCAATGCGCGAAGCAGACAAAGAGAAAACAGTGTTTGCGAAGCCTGACGGGCTTTACAAGTTTAACGTCATGCCTTTTGGCTTATGCAACACTCCAGCAACATTCGAGCGCATGATAGATACCGTGTTACGCGATCTCAAATGGAAAACCTGTTTATGTTACTTAGACGACATCGTAATTATATTATTCTACTTTTCCTCAGCAACTTTAAGCGTTTGGACGAAGATCTAACGTGCATTTCGAACGCTGGTCTACAGCTCAATACAAAAAAGTGCCATTTTGCCAGCACACGCATACAAGTATTGGGTTACCTTGTCAGCAAAGATGGCGTTCAATCCGACCCCGACAAGGTTGCTGCCGTAATTAGTTTTCCACGTCCGGGCAATCAAAAACAATTGCGAAATTTTGTGGGCCTGGCGTCCTACTTCCGCGGCTTCATCCATCACTTTGCTGCAATCGCGGGGCCGTTACACAAGCTTCTGACGTCAGGAACGGCCTTCACTTTAACTGACGAGTGCGGTTGTGCTTTCCAAGCTCTTAAGCGTGCTTTGAGATCAGACCCCGTCCTCCGTCACTTCGATGAGTGTGCACCCACTTTCCTGCACACAGATGCAGCGGCCACGGAATCGGTGCTGTCCTTCTCCAGCGCGATGAAACATCACGTGAGCGAGTAGTTGCGTATGCCAGCCGCGCACTAACACCTGCGGAGCAGAACTACTCGATATCAGAGCAGGAATGTCTGGCTGTCGTTTGGGCCATATAGAAATTTCTACTTTATTTGTGTGGACGCCACCTCACTGTGATTACCGACCACCATGCCCTACGCTGGTTGTCCTCGCTGAAGAATTGTCTGGGCGCCTCGGTCGCTGGATACTGCGTTTGCAAGAGTACACTATTGACGTTGCGTACAGGTCTGGCAAACAGCATCCGGATGCTGACACTCTCTCTCGCTGCCCTTTGCCACTTTCTTCTCCAACCACGAATCCTCAACACCCCTCAGTTGATCAAGCGGCTTCCTCTTCACTCACGTTATCACCCCTGACAGTTGCTGGGTCACTATCCCTAAACAGTAAGCGCCTAGTTTACCGCGTACCAACGTGACGAACCCCTACTGTAACCGCATCATCGGATACTTGAATGGCTGGGCTTCTCCACCTAATGCCAGACTACGTCGTCAGTTACGGCAGTTCAAGCTAGAGAACAATGTCCTGCAGTGCTATACTCGTAATGCGGATGGGCATAGGTGGGTGCCAGCACTTCCCCGTTCACTACGAAAACAAGTTTTCGAAGCGTTGCACGACGACTCATCAGCTGGACACTTAGGATTTCAGAAGACCTACAACCGCGTTAGGAGCCATTTTTTTCTGCCCTGGTCTTTCTAGCTTTGTGGCTAATTATGTCGCTTCTTGCGCACTTTGTCAATGCCGGAAACGACCAACTTCAGCTCATGCGGGCTTACTACAACCCATTCCATGTCCTGATGCACCTTTTGTTCGTTGTCGGAATAGACATCTTCGGGCTACTTCTCATAACGCCAGCCGGCCACTGCTGGATCGTCACCGCCATCGACTACCTCACACGATACGCGGAGACCGCTTCTCTACACACTAGCTCTGCCGCAGACGTTGCCGCCTTCTTTTTAGAACCATTGTGTTGCGTCATGGTGCACCTTCGCGCGTTCTTGAGCTGACCGAGGCAAGGCCTTCCTGTAGATTAGAGTCCGGTGGAATCTCACATACAGAACATGACAGGTAGTCAAATGTGCGCCGGTGACGTAGTGGCCCGACCTGCTTCGAAAGCTTGTGATACAAAGACATGCAGTGAAAAATTTTGCTGATCTGTAAAGGGTGGTTGCTATAGCTATTTTGGCCGCTTTAGAACACTGTTTTTGTCATTATTAGCTTTTTATGCTTGTCCGCAAGCTGCACCCGCCAAAAAAAGGTACCAGGCTTCTTGAAGCTCAGAATTTTTAAATCGGCGTAGGTGATATTGATAAGACTCAGTCAGAGTGCTCATCGCAGGGAACACGCACCAATTTTTAGGGGCAAAGCTTCTTATAGCGGCACCAGTTTGTCCCTCGTAGCCGTTGTAGTGTGTAACAAGTTATAACATTTTGATCTCCAAGGTAGTGCCGGTGAGAGATTTCTTCTGTGCGTTGTTGAACAATAAAAACTAATGCTCAACGTACATGCCAATGGCTGCTAAGGGGGAATGAAAGACAGGAGCATTCGGCGTTTGTTAACGCGCACGCTGCGATCCCCATTAGCAGCCATTGTCATGTAAATTGAGCACTATCTGACAAGAAAGAGTTGCTGCGTTATAATCCTTAGTTTTAGAAAGATTTACCGAGCGTTGAGCCGCAGTGACATGAATACAATGACCTAGTATATACCATGAACTCGAGGTGGTTAAAGGTGGGAAGTAGATACGAAGCGCAAGCCGTAAGAAAGTAAAAGCCGAATTCTCCTGTCTCTCATTTCCCATTAGCAGCCATTGGCATGTACATTGAGCACTATCTGACAGTAAAAGGTTGCTACGTTATACTCGCTAGGCGTAACCTCCTTGGTTTTAGCAAGGTTTAGCGAGCGTTGGGCCGCAGTGCCATGAATGCAGTGAACTAGTATATGCCATGAACTCGAGGTGGTTAAAGGTGGGAAGTAGACCCTAAGCGCAGGCCGTTAGAAAGTGTGCGTGTGCCATCTCTCGTTTAGTCCTTGGAATGTCCGCTGGATGGCGGTGCTTCTATATGGGGAATATATGATGAAAAGATGCGAGATGGTGGTACTTGGAGTGTTGAATAGACGGATGAACGGACACAGAGACAGATGCATGGATGGACGCATGAACGGACGCAGGGGCGGATGGATGCATAGATGGACGCAGGAGCGGATGCATGAAGGAAAGCAGGGACGGACGCACAGATGAACGTGCGGATGCACGAACAGACGCACGCACGAACGGGTGGATGGACGCATGGACGGTCACACAGATGGACGCATGGACGCGCGGAAGCAAGAACGAATGGACGGATGAATGCTTCGCCCCACTCTCCATCATTCACTCCGCGGATATGCTCCCACTTTTTTTAGGAGTCGAAGCACCTCAGAATCTAGGCTTGTCTGTTGTGCGTTTTTTTTGGAAAAGCACGTGCAAAGTACCCGTACCCGCTATAAACAATGACTATGAGGATGGCGCTGGCGGCGATGAAGAACAAGCGTGTTAGCACAATGCAAGGCACCCAATGACGATGACAATGAACACACAAGAAGACGCTGCGGTGGAAATGCGTATGTAAGCGCGTTTGCACTGGACCATAGAGAGTTCTCTTTCTGCCGTGGAATGAGAAAGAACTTAATGCGCAGGAAGCGGCGGTAAAATGACAAGATTGCCAGATGGGTGGCGTGGAAATGTAAAGGAAATTCGCAGAGACCGTGGTGAGTCTCGACTTACGAAAAATGAGTTAATCTCACTACGGTGCAATAAATCTATCCGACGAAACCGTTGTCATGACAATGTATACTTGGACCCGAGACCCTCCCAAGGGAACGTAGAAAAGTACATCAATTTAGCCATGTTTGGATAATAGAACAAAGTACAAGAACAACGTCTTCGTACTTGTCGGAGACTTCAACGCCATCATGGGCAACTACTGACTTGGGCAGTATATGACGTCTAAACACGCTGTACGATGCATTTCTTATGACTGAAAACAACGAGAAACCACCACGTGCACGTGCGTAGATCTCGTCTTTGCCAACTTCAGGTTATATACGATTGAAAAACCATTGGCCCTAGATTTCATGAAAATAACGAAGGCAAAATGGAACACACAACTTAAAAAGTAGTAACATTTGTGACCTATGAACGTATATAGCATATAACGTAGAAAGCTTTGACACTCGTTTACATGTGCGGGTGGACAATGTCACGGGTGATTTACGGTAACACCGAACGATGTCCCTGCTTAGCCCACTCATTATCATTCAATTCGCGGAGATGTTTAGGTCCTATCCGACTTGAGTTACAGGTCTATAACGTTATTACTACAGAATAAGTGAATAATGAATTAGGACACTGAGGAACTTCTGTAAATAGCACAAAACAGTTTATACGTTACTAAGAGTGAAATAATCACCAAACTTAATATTTCGAGTCAGGAACGAGCCGCTAACCTAAATCAATGTTTTATCGATATGTATATTACGGATTTATTAAATGGTGTCAGATTCTCTAGACGCGCGAAGTTTAAATTAATTATTTTTTACTTGAAGAAATGCTTAGAAGTGAGTTGTTTGAATACAAGGCTTTCTCGAAAAGCATGCCTTTGTGACAGCGCAGCTGTTTATCATCCAGGTTAGTCACTGACATAATCATGCGCCCTTTCGTAAAGAGCTTACGTAAAGAGCTAATTGGGCGAGAAAGAAGGCTAGCTTGCGGAATAGTGCCTGGTACAGAAATGGCGGTGGTGAGGAGAGGAGAAGCGTGGCTTGCTCTACTAGTATTGGCTCATTGGCTCACCCAAAACTGGAAAGTGTGACACGGGGCAAAGAGCGCTGACTCCCAACAGTTTATTCGGCCGACGAATAACAGGCATATGTAAAAACGACGAGCAAGCCTACCCACTACCCAGCCTAAAGTGGCGCTGTTGAGGGGACCTCTATGTAAGAGGCCGGTTACAGCGCTGTACTTTTCCTTTTTTTCCTCTGCTATATAAAATTGTGACCGACACTGGACGTGAGGCGTGATGTGTGCCGTCACGGCTCACCACATGCAGAAGGGAGAACATGGCAGCGCCCGAGTGCTGCCGCGGAATCTTATCAGGCTCACCGTCGACAAGTCTTGACTCTTCAATGGTGAGCATACTCGTTCGCACACGAGGGTGCCTGCTAGCTGCTAAAGAATACACAGAACGCAGTAGGTGAAGGCGATGACTGCCACTTGGTTAATTTTTCAGAATGGCTGACAGTTGAGCTTGTAGGATGATGATCTTAAGTAATGAATTGCGCAAACAAGACAGGCACCAAGAGGGATGACAACAAAAAGTGTGATAGCCTCTTAAGTCATCATCACGTAGTATCACCCACTGTTTTTCAAAGCGGGTTAAGCCGTGGGGATCTTTCAGTGCTACTAGAGTTACTGTATATAGATGCTTCCTTTAGGTACCTAAAAAAGGGCATATAGAGTGACTCTAGGTGTTACCGTAAATCACCTGTGACATTGAAAACCCACATTTTTAAATGTGTCTCCACCTTTGTGTCTCCAACAACGAATCCTCTCCACAACAAAATACGTCTCCACAACGATTCTGACGTTTAGTCGTCACTTGCAACGTGTTTAACTCCGCATCGCTACTTTGCCGTTCTTATGGCACTGTGGTCTTGTATTTTGTTCTGAGCACGACCGGCTTTATAAATAGCGACCTGCGCACGCGCCCTTCTCCTACGGGGCTACGCGGTCCAAGAAAAGCCGCGATGTTGTCGGCGCGTCTCACCAGGGGGCACTGGGTTTAATCCTCAACTTCGTGTCGGCTGCTACAGCTACTACGACAGCGGAACGCGCGAGATTGTGTAAACCCCGTGTCTTTGCAAACATCAGCTGTTTTGTTTTTTGTTCTGCCTACCATGACGTGAAACAAGGCAGTATATACCAACTTCCAACCAACCAACTTCGAGAAAATGTAGAAACGTCAGCACTCGTAACGGTGGCTTGTTGCACGGGCCCGCAACCTGGGCTAGCTTTTCCTGGCAGCCTAGACAACATTGTCAAAGAATGTTATGCAGTGCCATGCTGGTTCTGTCTAATGAGGTATATTTAGCAGGTCCGCGAGGTGCACTCCGAAGTGCAGGAAAACAAGTAGGCTAGGTCGGCTGTTACATTTTGTGCGCGTACGTACTTGTCACTTTATCCTTTCGAGAGTTCTTGCGCAACTTCACCTTCAATTTTGGCGTGTTTGATACGCAGGTCACACAGATTGGTGCAATGAGCTCGCTAACTTTTAAACTGTATTACGGTAGTTGTACCTGCATTGGCCGTCTCGTCAGATTTATCGCGTTTTATGCAGGTGACGGGAGCGCCAACAAATATTACACGCTTTTTTTTTTCTGGGTTTTACGCGCTGTGCTTGCATTTGGGCTTCGAGGCGCACCGTAAGGACTACGGAATTAGTTCAAGGAAACTTGAACGTGTGACGAAATGAGGACACACCCAACTCATCTAATCCATGCATTCAAGCTTAGAGCAACAATAGATCACAACTTGCCAAATGTTTTATTCGTTAAATGACACACTGAATCACGAGCACATTTAGAGACAGTCTGGCCTTCAGAATTAGACCTTCAGCAGCTTTCGCGAGGTGGGTTTCGTTTTGAGTGCCTTTTTCTTGGCGTTGGACACTGTGAGGCCATTGGCGGTGTTAGACAAAAATGGCCTCATGAATTTCTGCAGAATTACGCTGACCAGCTTTGTTTTGTGTGGCACACTTTTGTCCTCGGCACAATCAAAAAGTGGGCTCTTCAGAAGTGAAGGTAACACGACGGCCGAGAACTTCTTGAACGGCCTTTTGTCTTGTTCTTGTTAGTCTTTTTTACGTCAGATGCTGATAAATGCGAAGCATTTCTTAGCGAACTTCGGCGACTTTGAGCGTATCTATCTATCTATCTATCTATCTATCTATCTATCTATCTATCTATCTATCTATCTATCTATCTATCTCTATCTATCTATCTATCTATCTATCTATCTATCTATCTATCTATCTATCTATCTATCTATCTATCTATCATCTATCTATCTATCTATCTATCTATCTATCTATCTATCTATCTATCTATCTATCTATCTATCTATCTATCTATCTATCTATCTATCTATCTATCTATCTATCTATCTATCTATCTATCTATCTATCTATCTATCTATCTATCTATCTATTGCGGTGTAGCGTGAACAAAACATTGCCCGCAGCTTCCCTCGGGGAAACACTGAGGAGGATGCGGACCATATAATTGGTTAACGGGGTGTTAAAGTGCGACTTACTTGGGTCGATGGCTAAATTGGTTAACGTGGTTGTGAAATGGGGTGTTAAATTGCGACTTACTTGGGTCGATGGCTAAATTGGTTAACGTGGTTGTAGGAGGGGGTGTTAAATGAGTGAACACGTACACACGTATGCGAAAGGGCGGCGCTGGTCGAAGGGACGTCGATCATTGTGTTTGTGGATTCGTTGGAATTCATTTCACCGCGACCTTGGACGTCGACGCGCCGTACAAACCAACCGACGAGTGGCAACTGAGCGAGCGAGCGCCGACCTTGAGTATATATACAGCACGACGGCGCATGCACTGTCAGCTGTTGAATGTTCTCGAAGCGCGACGCCACATGCGCGTCCACTGGAGAATCGGGAGAATTGTAGATGTCGAACGCGGTGTGTAGAGGAGGAAGGGTGCACAGATGGTGGAGGAGTGAAGCGCGCGCGGTGTGTAGAGGAAGAAGGGATGCACAGATGGTGGAAGAGTGGGCGACGGCGCATGCGCGCGCGTCAGCTGTCGAATGTTTGAGAAGCGGTGCGGACGGCGCACTACAAGGCGCGAGTATAAGATGCTCCGCATCTAAAAATTACCAGGTCCCACGTACAGTTGGAATGGATATGCGAAGCGCGAATGAGAAATGTTGATATGTCACTTTAAAATTAGCACGACGTTACGAGGGGGAGGTAAATGATGCCGTACATGACTTCCGTGTCATGATTATCATGTTTGGTTGTGTCGTTTACTTTCGTCATCCATTCACGTCCCGTGATACCAAACTTAGTATATGTGGAGCTAGCGAAGCGGCCGCGAGCCCCCTATGAGCGTGGTATGTTGTCATGTCCTTACATGGCACGCGTGTCAGTATTATCAAGTTTGCATCGGTCATATAATTAATCATTCAATTGACGTCACGTAACACCTAATGTGGTATATGTGGAGCTAGCCAAACGGACGCAAGCGCATCATGAAGGGCCCAATATACTCCAAAGTAGCGTTGACGAGCGGGGCACAGCGACGCTACGTTAGCAAAACGCGAGCACTCTATAGTCTGACGCCAGGCGCGACCAGCGTCTGTCGGCGCAGCCCGATGGCAACCAGCGCGAAATGTGTCATGCTGCATTTCGCGCCGATGCGTTACGCAGACAATACTGCATCTCCACAATTTCGTGACGGAGGGACGCTGTTTGCGCTCAAAGGCGCATGCGCCGAAGCAACGCAAGCCGGCGCGCGCCTGCGAGTGTATGGCGGGACTGGCAGCTGGCATGGCAACGCTGGCGTGACGTGACGAAATGAACGCCGGTGAGCACGCGCACTGCATTACGTTGGAATGTATTGGCGCCTTGACTGCGGCATGTAGTCATATTCTCGCATGAAATGAATCTCATGATTATCATGTTTACACCAGTCACCTAGCTTCGTCATCCATTGGCGTCACGTAATACCAAACTTTACATACGTGAAGCTAGCGAAATAGCCGTGAGCGCATCATTAGTGTGGCATGTAGTCATGTTGTTACATGACACGCATGTTGCGACTATGACGGTGGGATGTGGTATTTACCTATGTCGTCCATTCGCGTCGTGTAATACCAAGTTTGGTACATGTGAAGCTAGTGAAACGGCCGCGAGCGCACCATGAGCGTAGGATGTAGTCGTGTTTTTACATGACATGCATCTCATGTTTATCATGTTTGCAGCAGTATCATACCTGCGTCATCCATTAATGTCCCGTAATACCAAATTTTGTACAAGTGAAGGTAGCGGAATGACCACCAGCGCATCATGAGCGTGGCATGTAATGATGATTTTACATGACACGCATGTCATGATTTTCATGTTAAGGTCTGTCGCTTGTGTTCGCCATGCAACCATACCACACCATAACAGTTTTGCAACATGCCATGTGAACAAAAGCAGCGCAAGAGCAGCAGGACCATGAAATGTGAATTATGGCATTCATGACATGCATGTCATGATATACATGTTAGGATTAGTTTGATATGTTCTTCATACAGTCGTGTTATGCCATACCAAGTTTATTATTAATACCAATATCAATCAATCAATCAATCAATCAATCAATCAATCAATCAATCAATCAATCAATCAATCAATCAATCAATCAATCAATCAATCAATCAATCAATCAATCAATCAATCAATCAATCAGGCGCAGACATACCAAAGTGCATGCAATGCCGTACAGACGCAAGGCCCCGTTTAATGACGAGTAATGGCATTGTGGGTACTACAATATTTTTGACTAATTATTGCGATCTCTGGCGAAAGTGTAGCGCGCAACGGCACTTGCAGAAGTCGCCTCGAGAGAGTTCAGAAAAGGCTGTAGGAAGCCCGCTCCACCAAACTTCGCTGCCACTGTGCTTTGTGTTTAGCGCAAATCGAGTGCTCTTGTGGCTGCTGGCTGGCGTGGCTGGTCGCTATGAAGTGCGTGAACTGAAGGCGGCAGTCTTCACTCAGCAAATAACTGAATGGGTGTGACTAAAAAAATGAATTCACTCGGTGGAAAGTAAAACTCTATAATGGTGCTATGTTACGGTAAATGAACAGCGATAAGCAAATTCTTCGTTTAAGCAGTGAATTCTCAAATATTCTTAGATATGGCGAAACATAAGAATGCAATAAAACGCAACCAATAGGTTGCTGCAGATTAGTGACGCTGTAACTGACATGGTCATTAAAGTGCTACGGTTAATAGCACCTATTTCGATTACAGCATCTTAAGAATAGGTACTTCGGTTATTATACACAACTTTGTACTACACATCTTTTTAGGAGTTGGTCACGAGCATGCTTTTACATTAAGCAATATTTATTTTATTGTTGCTAATAGTTACTAAATGACTTTCCGAAAATGTCTGGTGCGTTATCTATATTATTCCGAAATTTCGACATTTTTAATTGCTATATCGTGGCAAATTCCGCAGTCATCAACGCACAGGCATATTTGCGATGCAATGTTAGTGGTCAAGCAAGCTAATAACATGAATTAAAATTAGCACGTCACCAGAAACTGACTCGTAAGGTACAACTGAGCCTACAAGAATTTGAAGAGAGCTGAAACATTGCCTGTAATTAAAAAAAAACATAGCATGTCGATGAAGTATTAATGGATCAATTCTTTACCGATTCACCAAATGCGAAAGCAAGGACTAGTTACTCCATCAAATGCTTTGGGAAAAGCTAAGAGTATGCAATCTTCAACAAAACTGGGGTAAACAAATAGACAAACAATTTCTAAACGCGAGTAGTTGAGTTTCACATGCCAACAGCTGGCGAAATATACATCGGGAGGACAATAAAAAATATGTTTAAATTATTGCCATGGTGTAAAAAAAAAGCCCGTAATATACCATGAACTTTTCGCAAGATCGGTGGAAATATGATAGGGTAAACTTTGTTCTGATTTGAAACTTAGTGTAGTTTTTTCAATTGTCCAGTTTATTGACCAATGTTTGAGGGAGAGATGCTGCCTAAGTTGATGCTCGTGAGCTTGAAGGGACTGCCTACCACACAGAAAAAACTTCATGATTGTGGCGCAAATGAAAAGATTGTTCATCACATCGGCGAAAACAAGCTTGTTTTCGGGCCAAAAACAATGATTTATAGTTTTTACTTGATGTTGAAAGTTGATAAAAATTTACCACTAGCGTCACCCAATAGCAAATGTGGTCAATCTTCACAATCTATAGGTAGGACAAGAAATCCTCGCAGATTTCTTGTCCTACCCATATATTTCTTGTCCTACCTATAGAAAAACAAACATGTTTAACTCGAAACTTTTTTATGCACTTGAAAAAGCTATAGGTTGCGCCAGAGACCATTTTTTGCTTTTTTTTTCTCACGTGCTCAAATAGGCGCCTGGTGGCGCTGCCAGCAGTGTGTTCGCTTGCCTGCATGCCTGCCTGCAAATGGCGGAGAAACACGACCACGGCGGGGAGAACACCTAAAAAGTGTGTGTGCCTAAAACGACCACTTGTTTTAATAATAAACAAACTTGATGAAACCTGCGAAAACCACACGCGATTTCAGTTGCCGACTTTCACCGGCACCGACCAGTGTTGTGAGCATTCATTCCACTGATGGAAGGAGACATAACGCAGACAGAAAAAACATGTTTTCAAAATTTTTACGTACTTTCCAGAGAAACCGCAGCAAGGTTAGACTTCAGAAGGTACGCTTTTTATTGCGACACAAAACAGAAGAGCAACGAAGGACGGTAGACAGTCCTTTTAACATTTCAACTTTTTTCTCGCTGTACCTCGAATACTTCAGGGAACTCCATGAAAACTAGGAGATGATATATCAACATCCTGCTTGTTACGGTCTAAGAGCCTTTCTCCTCGCAGGCAACAAAATTTTCGAAAACACTTCACAGACTACTTTGGTGAAATAGTTATCACTTTACGTGTACAACAGGTTATTTGTAATTTTTATTTCTTCGAAACACAGGCTTTCTTTTTCACAAGGAATTAGAGGTTTGATGACAGTGCGGAAGGAAACAAAACTGTTGTAACTTGGGTAATGAGTGACAGGATGACGCCACCAGTAAACTTTTTTTTTAAAGCTACGGGCATGCACTCCAATACTTTCATTCAAATCGCTTCACCGAGTTCCTTAGTGAAATAACTATCACTTTACTTGCACTTGAAACGGGTTCGTTGAAATTTCTATTCAAACCACAAGCATCCTTTTACACAAGCGAGTAGATGGTTGATCGCAGTGAGCAAGGCAAGAAAAATGTTGTAACGTAGGCAAAGTATGACGGAATGATGCCGCCAGTACATCTTGACTGCAGCAACGCGAGTGTGCCCTCCACGACTACATTCCATTTGCGGCCGCAGCTTGGGCCGTCATGTTGTCGACACGACTTGCAGCTAGCCGAAGCAGATGCAGCTGTTTCCTGAGCTCTTTGGTACATCCTGTCGAAGCAGTGTTCGAAAGATTTTTGTTCCAAAGACTTGTGCGGAGGGGAACGATAAAGTGATCCACAAGGTTTTGTCCGAGCTTGAACTGAAAAAGAACGACAAGGTAAAGAATATCGCAAAGATTACCTAAACACTGGAGCTGTTTGAGTCCGGGTTGAGAGAATGCAGAGGGGAAAAAACTATCATCATCAGGACCGTCCTGTGCCTTCGAGCGTGTTGCTTTGGCAGCACGCCCACTCTTCGCCCTCTTGTTCATCTTTTCCTTCATTTCAAGACACGTGTGCCAATTTTTCGGGCTTGCTTTGCAATAACACAGATAGACGTAGCGCATTTGCGTGTGAACAAACCAAAACATTTATCAACAAAAGGGTTACCGAAAGTCTAACAACCAGAACAAATAAAATAAAAAGGCCATAACAGCGAAAAACACTGACATTGAACCTACAGTCAATAAGAATTGGCACATCCCACGTACAGTACAACTCAATGATATGCCAAGCACGAATAAGGATAGTTTGTATGTCACTTGAAAATCAGCACACTTAAAGATCAGCACAAATAATTCCGTACATGGCTTCGCGGAGATGCGTAGATTCTTTCTTCCATGCAGGGAGTTGAACCTTTACCGGATCGCTTAGCAGCGTTACACTTCACAAGCATGACAAAGACAGAGAGTGTCCCGCGTGAAACGGTGAAATCAACAAAATGAGGTTACGTTGAATAACAGGTGACCTACAAGTGATACAAGTGATACAAGATACAACAAGTGATACAAGATCACATTGCCATATAAGAAACGACTGACCGGCGGCAATCCCACGAACGTGAAAGCACCAATTGAAAAACGGCGCACATAGGTAAACACACGACCAGTATAGAGCTTCATTAATCGAATTTTCGTACAGGCGAGTTTCTATGCACTCCATCCTTGTCAAACACACACTACTTTCTTGCGCCAGCGATGCGAATTTGGTGAAACCCTTCACTGCACATCGTGTACAGTCGCCTGCACCTGGTTTTCAGCCTGCTATGCCACCGCCACCAGCGAGATCTTCAACTCACGGAAGCTTCCTTCAACTTCCCGAGCACGTCCCCATTTATATGAGCGAAGGTGCACTCACGTTTCCCATGGCCGCATGAAGAGCGACAAACGCCGGCACTTGCTTGAGGAGGACCACCTTTCGCGAGGCGTGTATCGCAGAGATGGGGCCGTCCGCACACAAGGCGTCGCCTAGGCAGTGCTCTGCGCGGTAGTTCCAACGGCACGTGAAGGTGAATATTCCTTGAGGATATCGGGTAAAAAAGATGTTCAGCAGGTCCTGGTCTCCATAAACAATGCGCTCCTGGAACTCTTCGAGCAGGCGTATCATGTGGTCCTCCAGGTTAAAGGCACGCATACGCGTTAGGTTCATCATCATCAACCCCGAATTCAGACCTGCGCAGTCCAAGAGAAGCGAAAAAGGATTAAGAGTGAGTTTTTTTCTTCCTCAGATAGGTAGATACCCACAGCCACATTGTGAAAGGGCACAAGGCCTGCGAGCTCCCTGCTAAGTTACACCCGTAACAACATACGGTGGTTATACCGAGACACACATGCGTCGGCTTAGCAAAGAGCTTGGTAAGGAATCTCAAGTAGATCGGACGTGTTTATTGCAGACCTTTAGCCCCACAGGACAATTATGTAACATGAATGCATAGTCTGTGGCATGTAGGCACGCAGAGTCTTATTTTGAAGCTCCCAAATATACTTTTGGCCAACGCAACAAATATGTTGCTGCGATGATACTGCGACTGCAACTAACGTTATACAGTCATGCGAAAATTAAAAAGGCGTATTGAGTTCCTAGATCATGGATCACTCTCTCAAAAAATGAATGGTGATAGTCACCTAATAACGTTTTGGTGTACAACTTATAGCACGCGCTTGTTCTTTTTTACGTGCTACTTTATTCAAGTGCTAAAATGTACTTTAATAAAGAAGTAGTGGGCCAAGTTTGGCAACACACGTATTGTCAGTGCTAAGCACGAGGCGCTTGGGCCGGAAATTGTCACTGTTCTTGCTGGCTAGGCCTACGCTCATGTCCTGTCTCAAAAAAAAAAAAAGGTTCTACTTGTCAGGCTTTCTCAGTTCTTTATTATAGTTGGTGGAGTTTGCTGGGTCTCCTACCAATCCTGGAGTTGCGAAGCCGGACTCTAGCTGCCGCCATCCCCACCGAATCTGCCACATGACCACTGCAGATGCCTCACACTCTCGTTTTAATCTCTCAGTTAGTTACGTCACAATGTGAAATATTTTATGTTTGTTTCCTGCTTACAGGACATCAAGATTCAAGGTGTTTTGATGGAGTTTGTTATGGATAGTGTTGAACTAAATAAAACTGTTTGAACCATATCCAACTAGTTTTCTTCAATAATGTATTTAGCGTGCATATATTTCACCTGGAATATAATTTTGCATATATAAATACTAAGGGTTGATTGTACCGGCATGCTTCGCCAGTCGCTAATGCTTTTCAACATTTTTTCTTGGAGTCAGCAGCACTGCGTTGTTTTAAACAGGGAGAACTGAATTCTCACGCTTGCAGGGAACGCATTATACCCCTTTTAAGTCATGCTAAACTAGCTGCCTTTAATAAATGTACGGCGCCAGTGGGTTACCCTGTTTAAATTTACCTGTTCCTTCCTATGCAGTGTCAAAAAACTTCCTGATATGACACAGAACCACTGCACCGGCTGTGGGAATTCGTAATATATAAACTGGGATGGTTAAAAACAACTTCGCTTACCTAAAGGAGGAACGTATGGGCGGCGAATCTTTTCTCTTAAGTAGCAGTTGTTTTTTAAGTGCTCGGTTTCAGGCGCCATACCAGCCATCTGCCATTCGTTCATGGCGTAGAACATTCTCCAGAAATCTTCGATAGGATGGACGAATACGACGTCCGTGTCGGCGTAGAAGACGGCATCCACATCAGGAAGCATGCTCTGCGAAAATAAAGTTGAGAAATACAGAGTCCGAATACTTTTCGGCAAACCAGTCCGTTTCCTTGCTAGCGCTAGGAAGGGTGCACTGCAATATTTTGCTTATCACCGAGTGTGGTTTATGTACTCACTCATAGAAAAACAATATATTTCGAATGTCGGTTTGCTAGGTGAGTTGGTAATGCGTGAATACGGAGAACTGTGCCATGTAAACTGGGACAAGCAAGACACAACTAACTTAGAGTTAACACAAGAATAGGAAACAAAAATATAAAGAATATAATAAGAAAACCACGTGAATGATTAAATGTATTCGTCTATAAGTAGCACGAACACACAGGCAACACACAGGCAACACGAAGTGTCTGTGTGTGCGTGCCGTCTCTCTTGCGTGCGCGCTGCTGCTCCGTCGCTCTAAAATGAACGAACTCTCCATATAAACAAGTTTTGAAGTTTTGATAATATAAATCATACAGTGCTTTTTAAACGTTAAACCCCAACAATTACTGTTATATATAATAATACAAATCTCAGCGAATGCGGCAGGAATTACCAAGTCTCAGCCTGCAGTGCAGAAAAGATTATTTCGATCATCAACTTGGAACTTCTCAGAAAAGAGTGTCTGCCAACGTCAATTTAAATTTATGCAACCGAGGAAATGAGTTTTCAAGGCGTAACCTAAATGTAGTCCTGAGTGCTATTCTTCCTAAGGATGACAAAATATGCAAAACAGGGTTTGCATATGATTGAGCTCACGAATCGACAAGGCTTGTCTTCTTCAAGATTGAAACTAATCTTCTTTACGTTCGAGCCTCGAAAAACTCACATGAAGAAAAATAAAGAGAAGTAGCTGTCGCGGGAGTACAAGAGAACAATTTTGATAATGAGAAAAAATTATACAAGCAGTGACAAACATAAATATATTCACAAAGTGTCAACAAATATTATGAATTATGTCAGCGAAGTTGAGAAGAAGGCCATTCCAACTGACACAAGTTCTGGGTATGAATGAGTCATGATAACATTCAGTATGACATGATGGAATTCCAACTTTAATGTGGTGATCAATGCGAGCTGATATATATGAGAATCTTGTGAGTATCTTGTTTTCAGGTAGTTATTATAGTAAACTTTAGGAAAAAGATATAATGAAGCTACCGACCTGCGATGAAAGAGAAGGACTTCACACTCTCCAAATGTTGCAATATACAGGTAAAAAACTTAACTCCCTTCAAATGTTCAAAAATATTTTTTTTCGCAAGCAGCAAGTCTCTGGCTTTTCAGTTTCACTGAATTACGCAAACAAAATTATAGTAAATAGGCGGGGCCACAAGGTAGAGGCTCTCTGAAGGTCTGTAATATACCGCAGCCCGATGGCCCTCTTTCTGTGCCGTGTGTTTGCGTAAATGCAAGAAGAAAATTGTTTTTCAGAACCTAATCACTCTCACGAAATATATAATATTCACCAGTTCAGGAAAGAGCATTGGTGGAGCGTTAAATATAATCATGTGTGTGATACAATCTGAAGTGCGCAGCACATACCGGTAAGAAAAGCCTCTGAGTAGCGCATGGCCTGAACAATGGTCTCCACTTGTGCCCGCTTCCTTTGGGGAACCACAAAGGCAGCACGTCACAGCTGACACGCTTTTTCACATTATCCGGCCAGGAGGAGTACTTGAAGGAATAAAGGTGTGTCAGGTCATGAAAGAAAAAAGAATAGCAAGCGAAAATGTGAAAAAAAAAGTGACAGCTTTGTCGCATTGGGGAAGCAATGAACCTGATAGCGACAACTTGGAAGGTCGCGCGCAGATTGGCAAGCAGATCGAAACATGCCCCACGATTCTCACGCACAAAGGATGCACAAAACGTACTCACAGGTAAAGATTAACGCGAATATGCGTCTCAGTTGTTACTTCGCTGTGTCTGAAAAGCGCGCCCCTTTTCGCAAACTGAGGCTGTTTAACAATTGCAGTGACCTCTGTGTGCCCTATAACTACAACAGAATCGTTCCAGTGCAAGCCCAACGCCTACCAAGGCGTAAGATCCTCCCCACTGCAATATAACGGCGCGTGATCGAGCTAACACCCCCTTATTTTCTACGCGGGCCAAAGTACGCGTGAGAGATGAGAGCAGCCGCGCGCTCACTGCGCCATCTTGCTGATAATGCTGAAAACACGATAGTTCCTCCCCCCCTCCCGAGATACCTGTCAACAGCGGTAAGTGGTAGCTATAAATAGCTTGCCGTTCGAACGTTGACGGAGGTACCTCTCGGTGGCTGAGTAGTTAAGGTCTCGCATTCATGACGCGGAGGTCCCACGTTCGATCCCGCACGCCAGAGTCTTTTTTTTCTTGGATTTCTTTTCTTGCGTTTTCATATATATATATATATATATATATATATATATATATATATATATATATATATATATATATATATATATATATATATATATATATATATATATATATATATATATATATATATATACATACATTAGCGGTGCATAGCATCGACGCCGACGCCAGTGCCGAAATCTAGCAGAGAGTGTGCATATAATCGCTATCGCAATAAAAACAAATATTCTCCACGTAGGGCTCATTTTCGCCGCATGCCAACTTTGAAAGTTCAAGCGAACGCCCCTCCACCTTTGCTCTGGAGGCAGTCGCCAATCGGTTGAGAATAGCCGTCACACGTATTGTAGCTTGTACGTTGCGAGATTTGACGCGGGTGACGTCACTGGCACCGAGCGCACAGAAGGCGCCAGCGAACACCGTCATGAGAGCGCACAGGGCAGCGCACTCTATGAGAGGGCCAAACGAGTGTCCTCACTCTTTTCCTCCACAGAGACAGAGGGTGCTGTACACTAATGTAGGCTAGTCTTGTACGATAGATATGCCTATAAAATTCCCATATTCCTACCTTTATTTACAGTAAACATAAATGCGTTCTATGGTCTAAAAGACATTTAAAGCATCCTAATTAGGTATCACATGGGGAAACTGAGTATTCTGCTTCCTAGCATACAACTTGAATATTACGCACCCACCAAACGTCATTTCTTTATGGTGACTTGCACCAGACATATAGGCCCTTTTAGTGTCATTTCAGAGGATAAATGGTGTTTTCTTTTTGGTTTTTTACCTATAAACAGTGCCAGCTAATGTTTTTCTTACAATAATTCCATATAACTTAGACATCGTATACCACCATTACCCAGATTCATTACATTTTATTACGAGGGCCCTTTCATTTAGGAGAATTTTAGTGGACGATGGCTACCTGTGTGGTGCTCTTGACCTCTATTTTTACAGGCTTGACTGAGAGGCATACGTGGCCAACGCTCGCCATCTCGGCAGACACCTGCTACGGGTAAAACACTGTGGGAGAGAGGTGATGGCTCTAACTTTGGCATCTGTGCCATTTTTACGGTAAGCAGAATCTTGCCAAAGGAACTTCAACCTGTCGTTTTAAATTTGTCTTGTTTTTGTTTCACTCAGCCGTTTGAGGTTTTACAGATGCAATCCTTACTCAAATGTTTGCACGACAAGCCCATTCGTTTGAATGCAAAACTTGTCGACGGGTTCTATTCCTAAAAAAATATTACATTGCTGATCTCGAGCAAAGTGCCGGCTGTTCTGAGCGTGTACAGTTCTGTCTTAAGCTGAAGAAGCAATGTTTCTGTGAGTGTGATCATTATTTGAGATTTTTTACACTATATGGAACTGATGCACCGAGACTAGAGTTATATATGCGAGCCTGTTTTGCCACAAATCGCTCAACAGCACAGCAGTTTTATGGCTAAGTTTAAAACGCCAACCATGATTGCGATAACACGTAGTACTTTGCCGCGAGTTTCGAAGCACAACAAATGAACGAACGAGATAAATCACGTCACGAAGAAACATTGCGTTGGGTTCTTCATCATCATCATCATCATCATCATCATCATCATCATCATCATCATCAGCCTGACTACGTTCACTGCTGGACAAAGGCCTCTACCATGTTCCGCCAGTTAACCTGGTCCTGAGCTTGCTGCTGCTAATTTATACCCGCAAACTTCTTAATCTCATCTGGCCACCTAACCTTCTGTCTCCCCCTAACCCGCTTCCCTTCTCTGGGAATGCAGTTTGTTACCTTGTTAGAGTTAGAGCATCCACCTCGCATGCAAAAGGTCCGTGGTTGGTTCAAATCCTGGTGCCACGCAGTTTCCAACCGGATAAAAAAAAATCCGCGTGATGATGGAACTGCTTTAAGAGGCCTGGGGTGCGGCCTCACCGGTAAGCACCGCCGGGAACGCACTTCCTCACCAGAGAAGGATTGGCCACCCTGGTGCAGTATGTGGCCACTACCTCCCACATGCATACGTCAAATTTGTTGGGTTCTTAGCTATATAGTATATGTGACATTACGCAGTGGAGGGTGTGCTGTCGCGATTCGATTCAGATAACAATCAAATTTGCTTTAGGTCTAGTGAGTGTTACACTTATTCCTCTCCATTGGAAGAAACAATATTAAGGCGCATTGCTTCGCATGAGGAAAATGAAGAGAAACATTGCTGCCGATCTACGAAGTGGATGTTGATGATGGAGCGAATCTAGGTCCTAATGTCCATAACGTATACGTTCAAGTCACCGGCTAGTATAATGCAGATGCACGTTCGGGTCGACGGCCGCATGAATGGACGGGTGGATGTACGAACGGCCGGACGAACAGATGGACGGATGGACAGATGCACGGATGGAGTATGCGTCTATTTTTAAGCTATATGCGCGATATATACTCGCTGTACACGTAAATGCACACTGATGTTTCGCACCTGCGCTTCGACTAGGGACGATGGCGAGCCTGGACGACAACGGTCGGTCATCATGAGCGCCCAAGGGACTCGCTTCTAAAATTCGTCAGAATCACTCCTTTACTCAGACCTTCAATGCCGAAAGTTCATCTGTGTCATGTTTCACGAAACAGTAAAACAATCGTAATTGTAGAAGGCTTT